TTTACTGAATACAAGTTACTAGGATGAGTGATAATCATTTAAAAGCAACGTTTCCTGCAATTTTAATGTACACTAGCCAGGACTTTCTCTGCTCCATGACAAAATACCATCTAGTGCATACCTACAATTTATTGCATACAGACTTAGCAAAGAATGAGAATGAAACCCACCATGGCTATATTTAATATAATCTCCCTTACTCGAAATCTAGTCAAACACTTTTCTTTGCCAAGCCTATTCTAGCCGATAATAGTTCTGATTGCTCCAAGAGCTCTCCAGAAATTAAAAATCAGTAAATTAGTTGAAAAAAAGCCAACCTTTGTTCTCCCACATTGAAGCCAAGAATCACCTGCATAAGATCTAGTTGATAGGGTCAATCATCCATTTTTTTAAACTTATTTAATAAATATAAATTTCAAAAGTACAACTTTTGGATTATAGCAGCTTCCCCCCCACCCCCCAGAATCACCCTCCCACCCGCAAACCATCCCATCTCTTACTCCCTCTCCCATCCCATTCTTCATTAAGATTCTTTTTTTTTTTTTTTTTTGACAGGCAGAGTGGACAGTGAGAGAGAGAGAGACAGAGAGAAAGGTCTTCCTTTTGCCGTTGGTTCACCCTCCAATGGCCGCCACGGCTGGCGCACTGCGGCCGGCGCACAGCGCTGATCCAAAGCCAGGAGCCGGGTGCTTCTCCTGGTCTCCCATGGGGTGCAGGGCCCAAGCACTTGGGCCATCCTCCACTGCCTTCCTGGGCCACAGCAGAGAGCTGGCCTGGAAGAGGGGCAACTGGGACAGAATCCAGCGCCCCGACCAGGACTAGAACCCAGTGTGCCAGAACCGCTAGGTGGAGGATTAGCCTAGTGAGCTGCGGCGCCAGCCAAGATTCATTTTCAATTATCTTTTTATACAGAAGATCAACTCTATACTAAGTAAAGATTTCAACAGATTGCAACCACACAGACACACAAGGTATAAAGTACTGTTTGAATAATAGTTTTACCATTAATTCTCATAATACAACACATTAAGGACAGAGATCCTACATGGGGAGTAAGTGCACAGTGACTCCTGGTGTTGACTTTACAAATTGACACTCTCACTTCTGACGTCAGTGATCACCCAAGGCTTTTGTCATGAGCTGCCAAGGCTATGGAAGCCCCTTGAGTTCACAAACTCCAACCTTTTTTAGACAAGGTCATAGTCAAAGTGGAAGTTCTCTCCTCCCTTCAGAGAAAGGTACCTCCTACTTTGATGGCCTGTTCTTTCCACTGGGATCTCACTCACAGAGATCTTTCATTTAGGTCATTTTTTTTTCCACAGTGTCTTGGCTTTCCATGCCTGAGAAACTCTCATGGGCTTTTTAGCCAGATCTGAATGCCTTAAGGGCTGATTCTGAGGCCAGAGTGCTGTTTAGTGCTATTGGAATCCTCAACACCAGGGCTTACTTATCAAGTAAAAAATGAATGCTCCTCAAGTAAGAAATTCTTCCTCAGAGAAATGAATACAATTTAAAACCAAAGCCACCAGTCATGTGCTATTTTGCATCACCCAGAAATGGGCACACAAGAAATGACACGCACACAAGATCTGGCTTGATGCTTAATCCCTGTTGTCATTTTTTTGGGCTCTTTCTGTATCATTGGGCAATATACTATGTGAACTTTTGCTCTGAACCTAGACACAGTCAATCAAGGGTATCTTTTGCTTGGGATATTTCCACAGCTTTCTCTTCAAAATGGAGGCGCTCCATGGAGGCTGCTGAGACAACAGTGGCCACGGGGGCACCTCAGGCAGCCTGCCCACCCAGAAGCCACTCCATGCGGGTCACAGCCTTCTTTGGCAGTCTTCCAGGCCTGGTGGTCCCCAATCCATTGTGTGGGATGCACTAGCTCCTCTCACCAGGGAAACGAGGCTCCGCCTCTTCTGTCTCAGAGCTACCTTTGCCCCCACCTCCTAGCAAGGCTTATGCTCAAAAGAGCATCAGGACACAGCTTAAACACAGGAGTACAAGAGTGACAAGGCTTCGCTTTCCTTAGGGATAAAAATGTGCCCCGTGTGTGGCTCCTGCTACTGTAGGCTCTTCAGTTCCCTCTTTTTAACTGTTTTCCCGAAAATCCCAAGGTCTGACCCATCACAAGCAGTCCCACCACCCACCTCCCAGCACCCCCATCATTTTCAAGATGCACCATTGCTTCTCTGCCAGCTGTGCACTTGCACCGCCAGCACTGTGTTTGTCTCTCGGTTCTAAATCTTGCTTCACTGCCTCCTAATACGCTACTCTCTCTGCTCCCTCCTCTAACCCCAACAAAACTGTAAAACAAACTTTCTAGGACAGTTCTTGTCTATAAATGTTTTCAAGAGAAAGAGGGACCCGTGATTTCTAAGTTGAGCTCATGATGAATTCCTCCATTGCTGGGGTGGGGGAGGGGGGCACTCATCTGTACACGGTCAAGTGAAATCCAGTCCTGTGTTTTTATGCGACTCTCTACTCTGATAAAATTAGCTGGCCAAAGAGCTCTTACTAGGTTAAACATTTGAAGAGTTCATTTCAAAAAGTGATGATTTTCAGTAGGAAAAATGTGAAAGTTATATGAGCAAACAATATGAAGAGAGGAAATAGAATTTGTTACACAAAGGCAGAAATATTCTCAAACACATAATTTTTTAAAGACTTATTTATTTATTAATTTGAAAGGCAGAGCCACGGGTGGCGGGGGAGAGAGAGAGGCCTTGCATCTGCTGGTTCACTCTGCAGATGGCCACAACAGCAGGAGCTGCATGGATTTGAAGCCAGGAACCAGGAGCTTCCTCCAGGTCTCCCAAGTGGGTGCAGAGGCCCAAGAACTTGGCCACCTTCCACTGCTTTCCCAGGGCATCAGATTGGAAGTGGAGCAGCTGGGACTCAAACTGGTGCCTATATAGGATGTTGGCACTGCAAGCTGTGGCTTAACCCACTACATCACAGCGCCAGCCCTGACACAGAGACACACACACACACACACACACACACACACACACACATACACTTAAAGCTTCGATGAAATTAACACTTTTCAAGTACAAAATTAGGGAAAATGGCATCCACTGTTATGGAGAAAAGATTGAAAGTTCGTTTCTCAGAGCAATTTGTAAAATAGCAGCCTTTAAAAGTTTTGATTCTTTTCAGTAATTCCATTGCTAAGGAAAAATTCTAAGTGCAGAAAAGTAAAAAAAAAAAAAGTAGGTTTTTAGGAGTTTATAGCAACAATGTTTATCAGAGCAAACCACTGGAATGACATAAATATTCCATGATAAGGGAATAAGAAAATGCTTTAGTAAAAATAAGGATATGACCACTTAATAGGATAGTGAAGCAGAATAAACATATAGATAGTGGAGCAGATAAAAGGGAACACACCAAAATGTTAGCATTGTTTCCTGTGATACATGAACCTGATCATGATTAATGCTATTTGAAATTTTCCATGGTGAATATGCATTACATTTTTCAAAAAGCACACTGTAAAAGAAATCATTATGCCATATTTGTTTTCAGCCTAGGAGATCTGGAAATCCAGAACATCCAGTGAACTCCACTTAGCAGATTTCATCCTCTGGTTCCCACTGGGAGAAAAAAATCTGATAAAAGCATACCAAGGAGGCCGGCACCACGGCTCACTTTGCTAATCCTCCACCTGTGGTGCTGGCACACCGGGTTCTAGTCCCAGCTGGGTTGCCGGATTCTGTCCTGGTTGCCCCTCTTCCAGTCCAGCTCTCTGCTGTGGCCCGGGAGTGCAGTGGAGGATGGCCCAAGTGCTTGGGCCCTGCACCCCATGGGAGACCAGGAGAAGCACCTGGCTCCTGGCTTAGGATTGGCGCAGCGCGCTAGCCATGGCGGCCATTTGGGGGGTGAACCAACGGAAGGAAGGCCTTTCTCTCTGTCTCTCTCTCTCACTGTCTAACTCTGCCTGTCAAAAAAAAAAAAAAAAAAAGCATACCAAGTTATTCTAGCTGAAGCCGACAGATTGAGCGCACACACAGACCTGCTTTTCCCATTGATGACATGCCAGGGGCCCTCACTTCCAGGCCTCCTCTCCTGCCAGGGTGCACAACTGTATCATTCCTCAGCTTCCCTGTGTGAGTGCAGGCAGTGAGTGCAGGCAGACTTGGCACCACGCCTTTTCAAGACCCTTCTATAAAACGTCTCTTCCTTCCTTCCTTCCTTCCTTCCTTCCTTCCTTCCTCTTCTCCATCCTCTCTCTCTGTCTCTATCCTGACTTCATGGCACAGAAGGGCTCACCTTTTTGAGTAGAGCTGACTCAAAGAGCTGCCCTAACAAGAACATCAGACAGGACCCATCCTTACTGTCACAAACCACAGGATTTCAGGTTCACTGCAACACGGTGTAGTCTATTCTAATACTCAAAGCCCTGCTGAAAGTAAAGAAGCCCATATGGAAACAAATGTACATGGTGTCACTCCCCCTCTTCGCGGAGGAACGACACAGGACCCTGCGCTGTTCTTTCGTCTGCTCGGCCCTCCCCGGGTTTCCTGCTGGTTCTTCCCGGGTTGGCTACCATCCCTTCCACCTCCATGGAAGGGCGGTTCCCCCTGGCCACTTTCCCCACTTCCGCGGGGGAGCGGCACACCGCCGGCCGGCTCTCTCGGGGGCTGCACAGGTGTTCCTTCAGATAGATGTTCCCCTTAGATGTTCCTGGTGCATGTTGTCTCTCTCCTCCTTTATAGTCCTCTTCCACCAATCCCAACTCTGCTACCCACACGCCGAGTACGCTGCTCTCCTCCAATCAGAAGCAGGTCCTGCTGCTTATTGGTTGAACTGGAGGCAGCTGTGTAGAAGCTGTACGCTCCTCTCCCAGCGCCACATTGTGGGAGAGCAGATGCATAGAATAAGTCTTAATTCCAGTAACAGTATAGTCCGAGTTGCTCCCCACACATGGTGTGAGCATTCAGCCTCGTGGTTAAGTTGCCCGTATCAGAGAACCTGGATGCAATACCTACCTCCGGGCTCCTGACTCCAGTTTCCTGCTAATGCAGATGTAGAGAAGCAACAGTGTTGGCTCAGGCTGTTGGGTCCTTTCCACCCATGTGGGAGACCTGGATTGAGCTCCTGATGCCCGGCTCCAGCCCGGCCCAGCTCCAGCTGTAGTAACCATCTGGGGAGTGAACCAGCAGATGAGAGAGCTCTCTGTTTCTCTCTGCCTTTCAAATAATGAGTACACATTTTAAAATAAGTCAAAGTTTAAAAAGCACTGCCTTATTTTTCTTCCATTACCAACCATTAAGAGTTTAATGTATTTACTGTTCCACTTTAGGGGAAAAAATTATCAAATAAATAGTAAAAAACTCATCAAAATCGGGGTATAGAAGATTACCCAATGGTAGGAAGAGAAAACCCAGAAGCCCTACAACAATGGATGTGGAAGAATGCCAAAATATAAATCTTGTCATTAAAAAAAATTTCCGGGCAACTGAGGCATAGAGGGAGTTCAGAAAGTGGCAAAACGCTCAGCTCATTGTAGAAAACAGACCTGTTTCCTAAGAAAGACTAAGGGCATTCTTGAGTTGACATCAAGAGAAACATGGCCGGCATTACAGAGGAGACTTTGAGACACAGGAGGGCCACTTTCTTCCAGCAACCTCTCAGGAAACGCAGAGGCACAACTGTCCCTTTGGCTGTGCGTTATTTCGCATGCACGCCCACTCCACATCCACCCCTCCCCTTTGCCGATGCCCCTCCTGCTCTCTCAGAGTGACTCCCAGACTTGCCTCATCAGGGCAACCAGCTGGCCTGCTTGCTGAAAACTCTACTTCCCTGGCCCGCCCCCAGGAGAATGCAATTGGGGAAGTCTGCAAGACGCTCCCTTTGTAAGGTGTTCCCCAGGTGAGCAGGCAGGTGTAGGATCGGTGTTAGTCAACAGCTGCAAATAGGCTTGCTCTTCTTGGTCATTATACCCTAGCTGGCTAAGCTCCCTCAGCCTGCCTGCTCCCAGCATCTGAAAGCCTGGACTCTCTCGAGGACAGCCTGTTCTGCCATGTATTTGCAAGAAAGCATTTGAGAAAGATAAGGAACGTAACATTTGTTACTTGACGGCAGTAACTCACAACCCCCCTCCCTTCGAGCACAACACTAATTTCATCAATATTACCCTGCAAATTCACTAGGGGCTCCACGGGAGATACATCATGCTCACGATTTGATACAAACACATCTGTGCTGACCTGCACATCTTTTTATCATTAGAGATAAGTCAGCCGCTGCAGAACTTCTTTTCAAGTCAAGAGATTTCATCCGTGATTTCTGAAGTGAGGCAGGAACAAGACTCCCTGGGAAAAGAACCGCGTACGATGCGACACACATTCATTTTGCTAGACTCCGGTGATGAATTGGTTGCACTTGGAAGACACCCTTGCCTGCCTGAACCGCGCTCCAAGCAGGCTCTCAGCTACAAACAATGCAAACTCCCTTCCACACACATTGAAATCAGAAGAGGCAGCAGATCCCTCCCCGCCTCCCCCGTGTCTTGTTTCCCTCCTGCCATTCATGAGCAACCTGGTCCAAGGAAGTTGCATTGCAGGGAAATTGGAGATGAAATGGTCGCAGACGTAGGGATGCGTTTGGCCTAAGGACAGTTAGAAGTGTTCCAGAACAAAGTGGAAAAGGTCAAGGAAGTGGCTCAGCTTTCTCGAAAACAGAGACAGAGAACTTTGCTCAACCGAAAAACCTAGGGAGGAACAGGCGAGGAAAGAAACCCGAATTGAAGCTTGATAGCACTCTCTTGTCTTGGCCAAATGTTCATGTGAATTATCAAAACTCATAGAAAATCAAACTGTGCTTGAAGCCTAAAAGAGCAGTATAATCCATCAATAAATAAAAAGATCCCTAATCATGGCTTAGGAGCAGTGGTCCCCTAAAAAGGCATTGCCCATGTGCCCCGAGTTTGAGGATGCCCTGGAAGTCAGATTCGAACAGGCCAGCTGGTGAGGTCAGCCCTGCTATGTGCATTCCAAGCCAGCATGGCCACTCAAACCTTGGCCATCTCGAAAGGATTAAGGATTAGTTACCATTTCAATCCTATGAAAGAAGATCTGTATTTCTTTTTTAGACACAAAATTCTCGAGAGGATGGCGCTTGCCAAGGCTCTGAAAAAATAATCTCTCGAAATTCTTGCAACCCACTGTGTTATGATTTCATCTCATGAAATACAACACCTTTACATTAAACCTCATAAAACTAAATCCCACTGGATCTCTTCCAGACTCAGAGAATAAGCAGCTCTGTTGGTGATGCTTGGAAAAATGAAACACAGCCCCTTCTCATTGGGCTGGTTCCCACAGCAGGGCCCATTTTTTGCAGGGAGCAAATTTGCTTTACTTCTACACAATGTTTACATGTGATTAAACTCACACATAATAGATCTTGCAAATGCTTCGTGAGTGAAAGAACACATCCAACATTACAGTGCTAATTCCCCTCAAAATGATCTTTAAAACCAAAACTTACACCAATTCACGCTGGTTTTCCAAGCTGTCAATGTCCTCTCTGGTTCTGGGTTCACCTGTGGGTGGTCAAAAGTATAAATTTCAGGATCATGGGGCATGCATTTGGCCTGAGTGGTTAAGATGCCTGCATCCCAAATGGAAGCCCTAAGTACAAGTCCCAGCTCCAGCTTCCTGCTAATGCAGATCCAGGAAGGCAGCAGGAAATGGCTCAAGTAATTTGGTACCTGACACCCCTGTGGGAGACCTGAACTGAGTTCTCAGCTTCTGACTTTGACCTGGCCCAGTCCTGGCTCTCGCAGGCATTGAGGGGTAAACAACTGGAAAGAAGAGCTCGCTCACTCGCTCTCTCTCTCTCAAGCTCGCTCTCTTTCTTTCAAACTCAAAATGCATATAAATACTTGAAAGTAATAATAAATTTAGGGATCAGAAAGGAATAAAATAAAACACCTTTCTGACTAAAGGGAAATTCACTTGAGTTTCCATTGTGTTATATATTTTTTAAAATAAAAAATAAAAAAAGATTTTGGGGCCCAGTGCTGTGGCATACCAGGTAAAGCGGCTGCCTGCAGTGTCAGCATCCCATATAGGCACTGGTTTGAGACTCAGCTGCTCTGCTTCCAATCCAGCTCCCTGCTAATGCACCTGGGAAAGCAGCAGAGGATGGCCAAGTTTCTTGGGCCCTTGCCACCCACATGGGAGACCTAGAAGAGACTCCTGACTCCTGGCTTTGGCCTGGTCCAGCCCTGGCCATTGGGGCCATTGAGGAGCGAACCAGTAGATGGAAGAGTTACTCCCTGTCTGTGTCTCTCCTCTTTCTCTGCAATTCTGCCTTTCAAATAAAATAAATAGATCTTTTTAAAAGAATAAGAAAATAGTTCTCCATGGGAGCTTGTTGGGCCCTTGACTGCAAGGGACAATTGGCAATGTCCAGAGAAGATTTTGGTGTGACAACCTAGGGCCAGGGCAGGGGGAGAAGTTTCCACTGGGGCTTCTACATATGACACAGACCCCAGAATGGGCTGCCCTTCCTATCAGTGTAGGAGAAGAGCATAGCTGGGCCTGGGGTTCATGAAACACAAGCCAGGCACAACACTGAGGTAAGACGGGGTGGCTGGAGACCATCCCCTAAGACCATGTGGAGAACTCAAACCATACAAGGGCCCAGCACAAAACCAACACTTCGGAAGAGAGGCTGGCAGCAGAGGAGGGCTCCACAGAGAGAAGCAGGCAGGAACAGAGAGAGAGAAGGGGCGTCAAAGCAGAAGGCAGGGTGGGCTTCCAAAACGGAGTGTTCATTCCCCACTTGAGTTCAACATATGCAACTGTACAGAAACTTGCATGTAAGTGTTTGTACCAGCTTCATTTCTAAGTGCCAAAACTTCAAAGAAGGCACAATGTCCCTCAGTACATGACAGATTAACTGTGATCCATCCATGCAAGGGAATATTACTCTGTGACAAGACAAATGGTTCATCATTTATGAAAAGACCTGGGGGAGGAGGGACAACCCTGGGGCATGGCAACTTAAGCTGCCACCAATAGCATCCCATCGGAGCACCAGTTTGAGTCTCAGCTGCTCCACTTCTGATCCAGCACCCCGCTAATGCACCTGAGAAAGCAGCAGAAGATGGCCCAAGTGCTTGGGCGCATGCTACCTACATGGGAGACCATAATAGAGTTCCTGGCTCGCAGCTTTGGCCCTGGCTGTTGCAGCCATTTGGGCAGTGAACCTGTGGATGGAAACTCACTCTCTTTCTCTTTCTCTCCCTCTCACTCTGCTTTTCAAATAAATAAAATAAATCTAAAAAAATTAGGAAAAGAGAAAAACAAATAGATAAGAAATCCTCATAAAGCACTCTATAATAGAATGAAACAAATAAGAAAAAAAGAAAAGACATGGAGGAATTCAAATGTTAAGTGAAAGAAGCCAGTGTGAAAAACCTATGTTAAGTGAAATAAGCCAGCCCCAAAAAGACAAATATCAAGTTTTCTCTGATATGTGGTAGTTAATATAGAATACAAAAAAATGTATAAGAATGAAATGGACGTCTTGAGATTTGATTGTTGGTTTTAGCCCTTGTTTATACTGCTGTGGAACTGCGGTTTCCCTACTTTTTACTTGTTGAATATTATGGTTAGTGGTACATTAAGCCTGTGATTATAGAGTGGACTGAAATTATGTTTTTGTAAACAAAAAAGGAAAAAGAAAAAGGAAGGAAGGAGGGGAAGTGGAGGAGGGGAAGAGGGATGGAGAGAATTATGATTATCTACTTAGAATTGTACCTATGAAATACATGAAATCTATTCTCTTTATATTAATAAAATTGTTTTTAAAAGAACTTTTTAAAGGCTATGCAATGGGCCGGCGCCACAGCTCACTAGGCTAATCCTCCACCTGCAGCGCCGGCACACCAGGTTCTAGTCCTGGTTGGGGTGCTAGATTCTGTCCCAGTTGCTCCTCTTCCAGTCCAGCTCTCTGCTGCGGCCCGGGAAGGCAGTGGAGGATGGCCCAAGTGCTTGGGCCCTGCAACCACATGGGAGACCAGGAGGAAGCACCTGGCTCCTGGCTTCGGATCAGTGCAGCACACCGGCTGTAGCAGCCATTTGGGGGGTGAACCAATGGAAAAGGAAGACCTTTCTCTCTGTCTCTCTCTCTCTCACTGTCTATCTCATCCTGTAAAAAAAAAAAAAAAAGGCTATGCACTGTATGATTCCAACTATATAAAATTCTGGAAAAAGCAAAACGCTAGAGACTGTCAAAAGATCAGGGGTTGCTATAGAGTGGGAAGGGGAAGGATAAAATGGTGGCACACAGGGGATCCTTAGGACTGGGAAACTCAATGGTGGGCGCAGGACAAAACTAGAGTGAATCCTAATGGAAACTAAGGACTTGGGATGACAACAACATGTCAGTGTTGGTCATCAGTTATAATGAACAAATTACACATGCAAGGGGTGAATGAGAGAGGAGACCACAAGCAGGGAGCGAGGAAGTAACTGGGAACTCTCGGTCCTTCCCACTCAATTCTCCTGTAAACCTGAAACCACTCTAAATTATAAAGTCTGTTCATTATTATTTTAAACAGATTGGTGTTCAATATCTTAAGTTCAATTAGTACCTGTGGGAATGGAGCAGAGGATTAGCCTGGTGGTTAAGACACCTGTGTCCCACATTGGAGTGCCTGGGTTTGATTCCTGGCTCTGGATCCTGATTCCAACTTTCTGTCAATGCAGATGCTGGGAGGCAACGGTAATGGCTCAAGTAATTGGATGCTTGCCTCCCATATGGGAGATCAAGATGGCATCCCAGGCTCCCGGCTCTGGCTCTGACCAAGCCCTGCCATTGTGAGCATGTAAACCAGTGGAAGGGAACATACTCTCCTACTCTTGCTCTCCCTCTCTATGAATTTTTTTTAATCTTAGAGGCTGGAATTATGGTGCAGCCAGTTAAGCTGCCCGTTGCAATGCTGGTATCCCATGTCAGAGTGCTGGTTGGAGTCCTGGATGCTCCATTTCCTATCTAGCTTTCAGCCAGTGCACTTGGGAGGACAGCAGAGAACAGCCAGGCTGCTTGGACCTCTGCCACCCAGGTGAGAGACCAGGATGGAGATCCCGGCTTCTGGCTTTTACCTGGCCCAGCCTGTCTGATGCAGCTATTTGGGGATGGAAGATAGCGGTCTCTCGCTCTCTCTTTCTCTCTCTCTTTCAGATACTTTGCTTTTCCAATAAATAAATAAATCCAAAAAAAATTTTAATTCTATGCTAATGCATAAAAATTAATGTTAAAAGAAAAGCTAAATTGCCTGTTAGTCTATATAATTTATCTTCAATAAGATTCCCTCTCCCCCAAAAAATTGAGTGATGAACTGCTCAATGCCATGAGGAAAACAAATAAAAAGGACCAACACTGAATCTACTCAGCTTGGAAACTGGACTGTCATGATGACCTTTGACAGAATTGTTAAGTGAAATGGTTAAGGCAAGGCTTGCTCCTGGCTAGTCACTGCAGTGACAAAATGGAAAAACTCAATGTGGACAACCCCCAAGAAGCACAGCTGTGAAAGAATGGGTGGATGGTGAGAAGTGTGGGAGAGTAATGTTTCTTTCTTAACACAGGGGGACTTGAACATGTTTATCAACTGTAGGGAAGACCTGTCTGGGACAAGAAGACCAGAAATGCAGCAACAGAGAGGATATTACTAAAGAAACAGGTCAATAAAGAAACCAGGGTGGAAATCCCACTCAAGTCTTGGAGGAAAAAAATGAATATCAAAGATTTATTGATAAGCCAGAATTAAAGAAAGGGACACACACACACACACACACACACACTGACAGAGAGATCTTTCATCTGCTGGTTCACTCCCCAAATGGCTAAAATAGACATGGCTGGGCCAGGTTGAAGACAGGAACCAGGAGCCTCTTCCAGGTCTCCCAAGTTGTGCAGGGCCCAAGGCAGGGGCCACCCTCAGTTCCTTTCCCAGGCACATTAGCAGGGAGCTGGGTCAGAAGTGGAACAGCCAGGACTCCAACAAATGCCCATATGGGACACCGGCACAGCAGGCAGCAGTGGCTTAACATATTGAGCCATGGCACCAGGCCTTTTCTTTGCTATTTTAATAGACAGATTACCAAAAGGGAGAGAGAACCAAGACCAACTTTTTCTCTCACCATTCAGCCTGATCCTTAGTCTCAAATTCCCACAGACCAGAGTCAGAAGCACTCCACAAGTCTGATGCAGCCCAGTTTTTGCATTGTAGATTTGGACTTGATCAGCAATCAGGAATCCAACCTACCCTCATTCCCCAACTACTACAGCCCACCAGCAACATAATTTTCTGGGGACTTGGCTATGTTGCCTGGTCCTCTTGGAGACTTAGGTACGTCACCTGTAAACCAGCAGAACCACCATCTTCCCATCCCAAGGCTGGGTCCCAGATGAATCACCCTCTTGGAGTTCTTTTGTTGGTAAAACCAGCACCACTGCAGATGGGCCACCACTTTCACTGAAGAGGAAGCCATCTGGTCTGGGAGATTTTCCTTCTAACATCATGGAGAAGAAAAACAAGTCAACCAAGCAGTATTCTCCATGGAAATTTCCAATATCTATCCTCCTCCCCAAAGTCATAGCAACCTCAAAAGATAAACTTCCACTTTGAGGTCAATATGACTCTCAGAATGAGCCAATACTAATGCTAACCAACACTGGAATTCACTGAATTTTTTAAAGCCTTTCTGTTTATATCAAGGACAACTGCACTGAGGTAATGACAAAAGTACCAAACAGTCTCCGAAACAGAAACATCTTAAATGTCGTTGTAGGGACTGGAAATCTTTATCACAAACTCTTGATCGTGTGAGCATGGCATTTTTTAACCAGGAGAGATGACGTTCAAGAAAGGTGGGAAAACAGAAACAGGCTAAACCCACATCACCCCATGATGTGTTTCTGTGTATGAGAGATCAAAGTTTAAAGACCCGAGGCATCTTATTCCCATATATGAACTCTCTCAGTCTAAGAAGTTTAGCAAAGCATGATACGGAAGGCTTAGTCAGAGGGTTTCCACGGAAGGCATTCCAGTACCAGAGCGATGAGTTGGTAAGTTTCCCCTAACCTCAGCCCTGCTCTCTGACACTTTCAATTGCCTCAGCTACAGCCTCAGCCTAAGTCTGGTCAGATTGAAAGTGCCAAGGATAGACCATGGGACAGCCTGAATCACAAACCACACTGATCAGCCAAGACCAGGATAACTGCAAAACTCTTGATAATAGCCTCTTAGGAGCACTAACAAAATCCAAGAACTGACAATCCTAAATGTCTCCTAACCCACCCTCTTAGAGGTTCTTTAAAAAAAAAAAAAAAGATTATTTAAGAGCCAGAGTTACAGACAGAGCAGAGAGAGTGGGGGGGAGGGTCTTCCATCTGTTAATTCACTCCCAAAATGGCTGCAATGGCCAGAGCTGGGCTGATCTGAAGCCAGGAGCTTCTTCCAGGTCTTCCATGCAGGTGCAGGGGCCCAAGCACTTGTGCCATCTTCCACTGCTTTCCCAGATCATAGCAGAGAGCTGAATCAGAAGAGGAGAGCCGGGACTAGAACATATGAGATACCAGCTCCGCAGGGGGAGGCTTAACCTACTACACCACAGCACCAGCCCTTGAAGGTTCTTTGAGCCAAGGATGAACTGGGGCGAGGCCCCTCCATGGCCAGGCCCTTATTTTGTTCCCTCCACCCCCTACCACCAGTCTTCAGCCCTTGACCAGAAACCAAAGGACACATTGGAGGAAGATAGCACACATCCTTGCTGTAGAATTTATTCACTGGGGTCACAGAACTAGAAACCGGGGCAGATTGTTCCCTGCCCAAATTATATCTGGGACTGTCCAGTCATTCAAGGAGTTCGATTATATCTGGGTTAAATTACAACCAAGAGATAAAACTATCTATGATCAAAAAGTATCTTAGCCTGCTTGTACTGCTCTACAGATCCGATCCCTTATAAGTAATGGAAATTAAGTCCTCAAGGCTGTGGAGGCTGGGGAGCCCAAGATCCAGACAGTAGCAGGTCTGCCGAGCACAGCTCTTGGCTTCCAACATGGCTCCCTGTTGTTGAGTCCTCCCGGGAACAAGCATGGCGTCCTCAGGCAGTAGAAGGGGTGGCAGGAAAAGAACCCAAGCCCTCAGGCCCTTTCCTGAGGGGCCCTAATCTCATCCACGTCAGCTCCACACTTACGACTCAATCGCGTCTTAAAGGCCCTCTCTCCAAATACTATCACGTTGGCAATTAACTTTCAACATACAAACTGGGGTAGACACATCCAGACCATAACAAAAGGCAAGCATTTTTTTTTGAGCTCCTCAAAAGTATAAGCAAGAAATTAGTCATGATGAGGGAGACCACAGTGAAAAACGAGATCCCAGGAGCTAATGTACTCGCCCTTACCATTGGCGACAGGTGTGCTTTCCCATACCTGTCTCTCACACACTGCCTGCACAGGACGGTAGCTCAAAACGACAGCTGGCTCTGTGTTTCTTCCAAAGTCAACTAACAGGAGACCATTCTATGTAACAGTTCTATCTCTTACATGAGTAGAGCCTCAAAGGGAATTTTCTATGGGCTGCTTTGTAATAGAAAATACGCCCTATGACATCTCTAACCACATAGTCCTCATGTAATTTTAGCAGCACACAAGACAAAGTGTTTGATGCACAAGTAGGTCCATGTAGCACCTGAACAGCCACAATGAACCCTCCATGTCTGCTATAAGTTCCTCTGATGAGACCTTGGGGCCATATGTAGCTGCATGGGACACTATCATAAATGGTTTCTTATTGTGATCATGTCTTATATCTCCTACTAGAAATTAAATTCTTGATACATGGATGCATGTGCCGTCTTCCTCTTTTCCTTCTCTGTTCAATCCTCCCTCACTTCACTAACACACACCACCTACTGTAAATGTTTTCAATAATAGCAAATGTGGAATAAATGATGGAATGAGGGATCAAAGCTGTGTCAGGTAGGTGTGCATTTAGAGGCAAATGCATTGGAAAAATTAAAACCTGGGGCCAACATTGTGGGTGAGATGCAGGCATCCCATATGAGCACCAGTTCAAGTTCCGGCTGCTCCACTTCCAATCCAGCTAATGTGCCTGAGAAGGAAGCAGAAGATGGTCCAAGTGCTTGGGCCCCCCTTGCACCCTTGTGGGAGACCCAAAAAGAAGCTCCTGACTCCTGGCTTCAGCCTGGTCCAGTTCCAGTTGCTGCAGCTATTTGGGGCATGAACCAACAAATGGAAGTGTTCTCTCTCTCTCTATCTCTCTCTCCCTTTCAAATAAAATAAATCTTCAAAAAGAAAAAGAAAGTCTTCCCAGTATGGTTTATTTTGCCACTGGCAATAAGAAGTCTACTTAAAACACCAGGGCTACCAGAGTAGCTCACAATTCCATTAAGATTTCAAGAAGCTTCTACACTACAGATTCTATGTCCAGTTTCCCAGGAGGAAGGAGGTGAAGAGGCCAAACGCCTTATCACCAGCCAGCATTGTCTTTTTGCATGGGAAGGAATGTTGTCCAGGTGCAACACTGGCCAGAGCTGAACCACAAGACCACCAAGGCAGAAGATGTCTAAGAAAAGTAACTATTTAACTTTTAGCCTCTACAAAAGGGGAGGGCAAGAGAAAAGTCAGATGGGGAATGCGACTGCGTGAGCCACATCCTAGGGCTTTATGCAGATGGCGCTTTTTCCCAAGGAGAAATGGCTTTCATACACAGCACTTCACTGTTTGTTTATTTCAGCTCTTGAAACCAGCAGTACTGAGGAGCTTCACTGTATTCTCATAGGAGTACTTCCAGAACCCAGTGGAAAGTCTTTTCCAGCCCTTCCTACCACTTGAAATTGCTATGGACAGCTCATATTTCTATGCCGAATTTCTGTCCATTGTATTTATTTCAATACCAGCTTTGCAAACTGATTCATTTTGTTAGCATTCTTTTTGCCTTGCTCTGTTTATAAGTTACAGAGGTAGAATTCAAATTTAATATCTATATTTACCATTTCAGTTGCTTTGGGGACACCAATAACTACATGGACACGAACATTCACTTTGCCATTGGAGATATTGCCATAGTTTTTGCTCACTGAATCCTCAATGTGATAAATACATAAAAATGCAAAAAGAATCATTTATTGGTTCAGAGAGCTGTCTTTCCTTTTGGGAAAAAAATTATAATCCTACTTCACACCATACACAAAAATCAGTTCCAAGATAATTAAAGATTTAAATACAAAAAGCAAAAATTCTAGAAATTTCTTTAAGAAATACTTGTCTTATGAAAAGATTTCTTAAACATGTCAAAGGAAACAAACTATAAATAAAATAATTAATAATTTTCTCTAAATTATAATTATTTCTAGATGAAAAAAGACCATAAGAAAAGTTTTTTTTTAAAAAAAAACAAGATGCACGGGCCAGCACTGTGGTACAGCAGGTTAAAGCCCTGACCTGAAGCGCCAGCATCCCATGTGGGTGCCAGTTCTAGTCCTGGCTGCTCCTCTTCCAATCCAGCTCTCTGCTGTGGCCTGGGAAATCAGTAGAGGATGGCCCAGTTCCTTGGGCCCTTGCACCAGTGTGGGAGACCTGGAGGAAGCTCCTGGCTCCTGGCTTTGCATTAGCGCATCTCTGGCAGTTGCAGTCATCTGGGGAGTGAACCAGCAGATGGAAGACCTCTCTCTGTCTCTCCTTCTCTCTATAACTCTGTCTTTCAAATAAATAAAATCAATCTTTTTATTTATTATTTGACAGATAGAGTTAGACAGTGAGAGAGAGACAGAAAAGTCTTCCTTCCATTGGTTCACCCCTCAAATGGCCGCTATGGGATCGAAACCAGGAGCCAGGTGCCTCCTCCTGGTCTCCCATGCGGGTGCAGGGCCCAAGGACTTGGGCCATCCTCCACTGCACCCCCGGGCCACAGCAGAGAGCAGGACTGGAAGAGGAGCAGCCACTAGAACCTGGCCCCCATATGGGATGCTGGCGCCGAAGGCAGAGAATTAACTAAGTGAGCCACGGTACCGGCCCCATAAAATAAATCTTTAAAAAAAAAAAAAAAGATGCAGAAGGAGTGAATTTATGTGCAATTCATTTCATCTTTTTTTATTATTTGTTTTAGAGACAGAGAGCTGCTATATGCTGGTTGACTAGTCAAATGCCTGCAACAGCTGGGGCTGAACCAGGCTGAAAGCCAGGAACTCAGAACTCCATCCAGGTCTCCCATGTGTGTGGCAGGGACCCAAGTACTTGAACCATCACCTGCTGCCCTCCTGCCAGAGTGCAAATTAGTAGGAACCTGGAATCAGAAGTGGAGCTGGGACTCGAACCCAGGTACTCTGATACAGGAGATGGCAGACAAGTATCTTAACCACTGCACCAAATGCCTCCCTTTCATTAATTTTTTTAAAACATGATATCAAGAATACATCAATAAGATCTACAAACCAATAAAGAGCATGACAAAAAAAAAATAGAGAAAGCCGGGCAATTTGCTTGAGAAGAAATTGAGTAGCCAAAAAATAAACAGTAACTACTATAAGCTTCACTTTTCATTGGTGAATTTAAAAAATTAAGGAGTCATTCACAACCATCAAATTGGTAAAAATATACACCTGCAATGCTGAGTGTAAGGATGTAGGGCAGGAGCCTTCCATCAGCACAGCCACTTTGAGAGCAGCCTGGACCACCTAGCAGTTACCCCATGACTCGGCAATTCTATTCCCCTGCTCGTCTCTCAAGTGTGCACTAGAAGACATATGAGAGTACTTCCAGAGATGTGCTAGAAAGTGGAATGAAAGGTAAGCTTATTTTGATATAAAAAGTAAATTGTGAGGGCGGGCACTGTGGTGTAGTAGGCTAAGCCTCCACCTATGGCACCACCATCCCATTTGGGCACTGGCCTCTGTCTCAGCTGCTCTTCCTCTGATCCAGCTCTCCGTTCATGGCCTGGGAAAGCAGTGGAAGATGACCCAAGTGCCCAGGCTCTTGCACTCATGTGAAAGACCCAGAAGAAGCTCCCAGCTCCTGGCTTCAGATTAGCCCAGCTCCGGCCATATCAGCCATCTGGGGAGTGAACCAGCGGATGGAAGACCTTTCTCTCTGTCTCTCACTTTCTGTCTGTAATGCTGCCTCTCAAATAAATAAATAAAATCTTAAAAAGAAAAGAAAAGAAAATTTTGAAATCTATGCAGTTTTTCTTACATGCATTTTCCATGAAGTTCCTGAAGATCTCTATATTCA